GACGATGAACCTACAGTTGTAACTATGATGTTTATTTATGGAAAACTTTGTATTGTCAACATTTGTGTCATGTACCTTTAATGCATGGTTGTATCATTGCTCTGCAAAAATAATAAAAGTCTAAGTTCTAAAAAAAAAAAAAAAAAAAAAAAAAAGACAGAGAAAGCCACTCCAAATTTTAAAATGTTTACAGTGTTGACAATATCTTTTAAAACTATCTATATTATTTGCAGCAGTCTTAAAAATGCAGCAACAACTACAGGGGTTTAATCTTGACAAAGTACTGACATGGTTATGTGTTTTTTCCTTCAACAAAAATCGCCTTTTACTACTGAGCCTGTCATTGATGTCCTGGGCTAACATCTGTTCACCAACTGTGCAAAGACAATGCTGTCATTTCATTCCACTGTTTGCTTTTGACCATGTTTGAATTTTCTCTGTAATGCCTGCCTTTGCATGAGACACAAAAACATTGATTAAAAGTGCTTAATAATTGGAAGGGTTCAGCTTGAATGAATGTAGAATATGTTTTTGTTTGTTTGTTGCTATGAACCTTCTCTGATTATAAAACTCAACGTGGCAGTTGTTCACAAGCTTTCCTTTTTTTCCTTCGGAAATCAGCAGCACAAAGACTGAAAGGCAGGTTTCCTGGCTCTACTTTTCTCATATTTTTTACAAAATTCTTACAGCTTTTAAACCAGTTAACCAGATTCATAGTCCTTCCATTGAAGCTAAACGAATGATAGTTTATGAGCAAAGATGAAGTCAATAGTTTAATTCAAATTTAGGCCAGCTTTTTCCAACCATGGTGTATTCAGACTACACTTTAAGAGAAACTATATTAGATCCCAAATCACGTAAGAATAAGGTTTAATTAAAATGTTATATGAAAAGTTATGATTCTTACATTGACTTCTTTTTCAGGGCAGATTTGAACCTTAGATATCCCAAGTGTTCCACAGCTTCATTAAATTGCTTTATACATATTCATTCCTGCATTTCAGTCCTGTAGCACATTTCACAAGTGAAGAAATTAAGTTTTAGCGGTGTGTATCTCTCTCACAAAGTGTACTCTGACACTGAGAATACCAAAGGTTTAAGGCAATTCAAGAGTTATCTTATCCCATTCTTCCATAGACTTTAAAAAAATAGGTAAACTATCAAATTCGGTACAGATTTGCAAAATTCGATACAAAATATGATATAAACTCAAAACTAACTTAGTGAACCAAAATTTAAAGTTAAAAGAAAAAAATTACTAAAAGAATAAAACTCCTAACAAAATATGGATATGAAATTTATTAGTGACATTAAATTAAATCAGATTCTGGTTACAAAATGAAATATTGTACATTGATTAACATTTGCTTAAAACAATATATCATTCAGGGGGCAAGCCAGAAATGTAGTTGAGTCCATCCAGTCCCTGTAGCTCAAACTTATAGCTGCTTATGCTCTGAGTTAACAAATATTAACATACAACTACAAGTTTTTAAGTGGAATTCAGGAAGACTCAATATAAGTTCAATAAGAATGAATGGTTCTTTGTGATATGTAAAAACATGAATGTAGATGCAATATGTAAAAATCATCAGTTATATCAGTGCTGTTTTGGTTGTTTTGGAATTACTAAAGCGCAAAATTGCCCGGTGCAAAAATGAAAAACCAAAGCATCTGCAGCTCATAATTTGGTGATAAAATTCACAAAGGCAATTATTGTAATTAAATGAAATATTTACTAAATGGTTTGGAAAGTTTTCATGCATCCCTAATTCTACAAAACTCTAATAGAAAACATTGGGTGTTCAGCACCCCTAAAACCTCTCATCCTACAATCACCCTTCTAATAAACAGAGGAGACTTAAACAACCTAAGATTTGCTCTGGCAGTTCAAATTGTTTTCCTGTTGTGAAATGTCTTCATTCTTAGCATTAGTTCATAATCTATAAGGATATTTTACTATGACTGCAGTCTATCCCTGACCTGTCAGTAATTCTTAATACAAGTTTAGATAGCAGTGGAGATGTTAAGCCATTGTTAAATGACAATCTCACATTAGCAATCATCTTCATTCAATCTTCATTCATTTGAACTCACATCCTAATCACAGATTATACATTTTTACCGCACTTCAAATGTGTTAATCAAAAGATGAAAAGATGTGAAAACAACTAAAAGCCCCTCCATTCACAGCTTCTGTTGGCTGAGATGAAAAAAGGTAAACATATCTGGAAAACAGAACACTCTTCAGCTTGTTTTTATTCTGCTAGACTTTCTCACATGTGTGTCCTTCTCACTTGCTCTCAAAGGAGCTGTTGGAACAGAGAGGTGCAAGCATAAGAGCAAAACACTTTTTCCCTGATGGATAGCTGTTTTAGGGCTTTGTCAGAACATATTTAGGTTTGCTAACCTCTTCTATTTTTCCCCTTTACCTTTTTTTTTTTTTTGGCTACAGACTTTTATGTCTGTTTTCGTTGCTTTAGCTCTGCCTGTGTATCCTGTCAGAACCAGAGAAGATCCCACCCTGTTTGCTTTCATGTCAGCCTCACATCTGAAGTTGGTTTAACCAGTGTTGTCTTGAACCAGATGCACTTTGTGGCTGTATTACATAAGCTTGGTTCGGTTTATCATAAGAGAACAAGTGGTTATTTTTTGTTTTTTAACAGGTTTAATGAGTTATTGCTTTTGATTTCCCAAAGAGAAAGAGCAAAAGAAACCACAGAGTAGCACCACTGGAATGCAGTCCTTGAGCTATTAGAGCCCTTTAAACTGGTCATTTCTGCAATCTTTTTCTTTTTCTTATTTTGATGTACTCTCACTTTGATGTTCTGAGCTTTGCTGGGCAGTGTGCCTGTGTGGTGACTCACCTAATGATTCCAGTGTGGGCTGCAAGGAGAAAGAGACTCTTGAGTTTGCCCAAGACTACTAATAAAAGGCATTTCTGATTGAAACCTGTTAACACTCCCAGTAAATGTAGGAACATTTGTATGCCCGTGTGACTCTGATCCAAGTCACTGTGCATTGAAATTTCTTGAAAGATGTTCAAAAAATCCAGAACATGGAAAATGAACGCCCAACTGAGATGCTGATAAAACCAGAAAGATGAAAGAGGTCGTTCTTTGCTCTGAACACAGCAGACTCACTGAATGAGTTATTACCTGAGACAGGTGTCTCCGAGAGCCATTCCACAGAACGCAAGCTGATGTTTTGTTGTTTTATACCCCGCTTCCCACAGGGAGAGGGAAGCACAAAGGAATAATTACTCACAAAAATGGGTATGGGGTTATTGAGAACACATGCTGAGCAAAAAAAAAAAAGGGGAAATGTCATTTTGAGATGAATCATCGGTTGTTGGTAACAAATGACCACAGAGGTTTGAAAAATGTTAAAGCATGATTAGCATAAAAGCTTTGACAATTGTTACATTCACAAAATGTCATCTTAGATGCTAAAGACTTAGTGAATGTATATGTCTGTGCGTACAATCAGTTGGTTACTTGAAATAGTTGGTTTTATACAAATGTGGCGCTTTAGATTTTGACCGACAATTCATCGTCAAGCATACACAAATTCAAAATCTGAAACAAGCTGGTGCATGAGCCACCAGATGTCAGTCCTTATAAACCGTCATTCATGATGGTTCTACATCGATTGTTATTCTCCCCATTGATGCCGGCACACATGCGTCCTCTCTCACCAGTCATCCCTGATGGATGTCTCTGATCAGCCGTCGAGATTCCATTGGCTTTTTCTTTGAGCGTAGGAAGGACCCAGACACAATCACGGCGCGGAGAAATTACTGCTCAGGAAGCACCAAAAAAAATAACACTTCGACAGACAAGAACCTTCCCACCCACATGAATTTTAGCACAGCAGACAAAGAGGGCCGTTTCAGATGTCACAGTGATTGTCAAGTAGAGATTAATGGAGGCTAGTGGGTGGCAGTAACTTTATAATATCCTATTCTGTCTTACAACTATCATGGTGCAAGCTCCCACCAGGAAATCTTAAATGATTAATACGAAAAGACACATCCACAAATGACTCTGTACCAAGGGTGGACTGAAAAATCTAATGATGATCATAGAGCATTGGAACTACTTCTATGTGATTATGGCAACGATGATTTCAGAGTCGCTATCACTTGATTATGGCTGTACTGACTTGACGCTGCCCAGATAATTACAGTAAATCTAAATGAAACACCAAACACAGATTACATGCGAGATAACACAATGTCATTTGACTCATGACAATAATTTCTTACTAAAAGACAAAAAATGATACAAATTTTTTAACGTTTTGAGATTTATCTCAAACTTTAGTAATCTTTGCAATCCTGCTTGCTGTTGTTTGTATTTTTCATATTCTCCTTTTCCTTGAATATGTCAGAAAATTTCACCCTGAGATGTATCGATAATAAGTAGAGACGGGAGACTTGCATGTTTTTAACGACTGATGGATAGCCCTTGAGAAAAGCCCCGCATTTACATGACGAATGAGTCGGGGAAATGATGGAGCGTGACGTGCAAGGCTCCTCACAGCTTAAGACAATAAGTGCAACATTTATAATACCTTGTCAAGAGCTGTCATTTACAACACATGGTTACTCCGATTTTTCATATTTATCACTGTGGCTATCAGAGGGAAGAAAAAAAAGTCACAACACAGCAAAGGTACCACATGTGTGGACAAGACAATATTCTGACAAAGCAAAGTGATTCTTTATCAAAGCTGCCAAATCATTTTAAAACTTCTGTGAAACAAAATGTCTCCTGCAAACAATACTTTCTGATAAACATTGCACTCATTTGTGCTTGGTGAGTATATTCAATTTACATAGAGAAAACAGACCAACTAGAATGGTTTTAAATGGATCTGATACAAGATCTATGATTGTTGATAAGCAAATTATTGTATGAACCCATTGCACACTCCTACTCTGATTTAAAATAACACACAATCCTGACCTTGTGTTTTTCGGGTAAAGCCAGGCACCGATGGCGGGCATTCTTCCCAGCACTGAACAACAGCATGTGGTGTGTTTCCCTTCAGACCGCGGCTACTGTGACTGTGGGACGTGTGAGTGTGACGACGGCTGGTTCGGAGATGCGTGCCAGTTCCAGGAGGAGTGCAACCTGCCAAGCAAGAAGAGCAGAGAGCTCTGCAAAAACCAGCAGGGGGTGGTCTGCTCCAACAGAGGTATCGCAACCAAACACAAACACACATTGTCCACAGAACAGGTCAGTTTTATCCAGCTCCAAGAAAAACGCACTGAAGCCCTGATGTAAATCTGAAGCAAACACGGATTAGACATGTTCAAAGACACAGATTACACTAAAATTGTAAGAAGCTTTAAATAATGTGTTTCTAACTAAAATCTCAGAATATTTTTCTTTATAAACTAACTGGTGACAAATTAAATATACAATTAAAGTGTTCATATTGGTTTGTTGATTGTTGGTTATACATTTTATATAATATATATGATAAATCCAATATGATTAATAAACATATGATGCATATAATGTGGTAAAACAGCAGCTTAATAAAAATTGTGGCTATTTTCTGGACAAGTTTTACACGTGAATATTACTTTGATCTGGTTGTGGTTCTAGCTCAAAAATACAATATTATACAATACAAATACAATACAACATTTTGTTGGTACTTGTAGATGTAACATCTTAAAATGAAAACTTTTTCATAACAATACTTTGTAAGTATTGGAAATCAAAACTACTTGGGTTCAAATTCCAAAGTAGTTTGGGCTCAGAAAAACACTCTATTTACAATGCCAACATACCATCATGGTATGCTATTTTTACTGCTGGAATCTGCTTCTTTCTTTTTCAAATAGTTAAAGTTTGGCTGAAAGAACAATTCCCACCTGAGTGTGTTTCAGGGAGGAGAACAGTCTATTCCTACACCTACAAAGTGTGTTACCAGCTAATAGGCAAAAAGTAGACCAAGTTGAGAGTCTACACCCTAGACTAGGCCCTCAGTTTGGTGCCCTTAAATTAAAGAGACTGGAGAAATGGAGGGCAATAGCAGAGTCAGGTCTAAAAAAGCCAGATCGAGCAGATACCAGTAATTGAGATAGGATCAAATAGGCCTGAGAGATAGCTTGACCTTCAGTTGATGGTAAATAGAGTGTTCTTATATAGTACATTTCTAATCTAGTTAACGTTTTTCCAGGCGTGCCATTTACTCACACATGGTAATAAAGCTTGTCCGAACAGGGTTTTTACAGACTACACAGAACTGGTTATAACACACATTCATAAGCCGATGCACTTATCAGCAATATGGGAAGTGTCCTGCACAGTGGTGCTTCAACATGTGGCCTGGCGGTGACCAGAAGTCACACCACAGCATTCTGTATCATCCCTCTATTGTTCAATGAAACCCCATCGCAACCAGTTTCCATAGAAAGAATGACAGCCAGGGAGCCTCTCTTAAGGCACGGTGTCAGGAAAGTCCCAGCAAAGTGTGAGATAAATCTATCTTTATGGGTCTTTGTGCGATAACGTGGACTCTTCAATACGAGGCCTGCTTGAATTTACAGAGATGCAAATGTGTTCACGCCATGTGGTTGCCAAGCCCGAGGTTTTTCTTAAACGCATAATTCAAAAAATGCTCCCGCACACCCACATAAAAACAGCACCGGCACCTTTAGTTGTCAAACACCAGCTCAGACCACTTGGCACGTAAAGCACAAACAGCTCAGCGGCACAGCGGCAAAGCGGCCGGGTTCTCGGCCTTATGCTGCATTGCATTAAAAACACTGTACAAAACACATTTCTATGCGGGCACATACCGAAAAGATAAACACATGCCCAGAAGCTTGACCTTTTCCAAGCGATAAGCTTAAACTGTCTGTCTGAGGCTGGTGTTTTTTCACAGGAACCTGTCAGTGTGGTGGCTGCCTGTGCGACAATAAAGACAACAGGGGCCTGGTGACGGGACGCTTCTGCGAGTGTGATGACAGCGAGTGTCTGGATGAGGACACAGGAGAGGTTTGTGGAGGTACGGTATTCCCACAACGGCTGACAAAGTCAATTTTCCTCCACTCCAAAACAGAGCGCTGTGTTATCTTAACATCTGGTTACTCAAGGACAGCCCATCATTGGCTTTCTTTAACGGTCAGCGTATTGTTTCAAGTGCTAGCAGCTGCTCCAGCCTACTCATGTACATACTTTAATATGCTCTTTTAGGGATGGCCCAAGAGTCTTGAATTGTTCTCAAACTTTACAGGTTCATGAAGATTAGACATACTGTACATTTAATTATAAAAACTGAATAGTTGCGATAACAATTTGATCGCTAATTGTACCAGGTTTGATTAGGTCTGTTCCACTCCCTGTTAAAGGCTATTTTTCTTACCAGATAAAATGTATATCATGCTTTAGGAATTTTTGCTGTGTCATTAGCATGAAATTCTCAGCAGAAAGACCTAAAATGGACATTAATTCTAGCATCTATTTTAGATCTCACAAAAAATATAATTTTTTAGGGCTTTCAGATCACACAGACTCATTTGATGTATTAATTCATTCATTGTCCATACTGTTCATTCCTGTCTTTATTTGTGATCATTCCTGAATTTCTAGGTTTCAGCCATTCCTTGTCAGGATGTCTTAAATGATACCAGTTGCCTTGTCAAGCCAGCATTTAACTTTTCAATCTGCTGAAGTTATGTGTTTCAGATGATGGCTGAAAATCATGATACCCTACAAAGGAAAATAAGACAAGTGCAATATTAAGCTAAAGATGTAATAAACAAACATCCCTGAGCAGATCTTTTTAAAGCAACACCAAAACAGTATAATGAATTATCCATCTTTGGATGCCCCTGTTTAAAACTTCAATAATGTCTCTTACCCTGTTTGGAGAGTATGGGTACTTGCACATAAATACATCAAAGAAGCAAGGCTTAGTAAATATGTAAGAATTTGTGAAATCTGTCTGCTGCAATGTGCTTTCAGGCCATGGCCAGTGTTACTGTGGAAACTGTTACTGTGCTGCTGGTTGGCATGGAGACAAATGTGAGTTCCAGTGTGACATCAGCCCATGGGAAAGCAAGCGGAGATGCACATCTCCAGACGGCAAAATCTGCAGCAACAGAGGTCTGTTCACCTTCTTCAAAGTCAGTGTAAACTCCCTAAGGTCTCGATTTAAAGCTGATATCCTTCATCTAACAGTTTTTTTGATTGAATCACAGTCTGAATGATATTAATCTTCCAGTTTTGTTGTCTGTTATGCTGATTATCTTTTATATAAACTCACTTATAATTTCATGTCATGATTTTATAAACTACCATTTCAATGTAGAAAGAATTCTATGCATGTGTCTGAATGCTTTTTGTTTCCCACAGCCTCAATATGATTTTGCGTTATCAGTATTTTACAAAACCATAAAAGACTGGAATGATGATTATTGAAAGCAAGGATTTTTTTGTTTTTGAACACAGCTCAGACCCTTTACAATTCACACCATCACAATAATAATTCATCAGCCCCTAGGTTGCTAGGAAACAGGAAACAAACATCCTAGATTGGGTGAATTTAATTTCCTGTCTGTGTGTTTTAATTATCAAGAGGACACTTATCGCGTAAAAGTGCAACAGTGTGTTCTCAGTTGAATCATATTTTTTCCGCTCAGACCCAGCTTTGTGCATTTGGCTGTTACTACTTCACATTTTTTCCTTCTAATGCAAATGTTACACTATAGTTGTGTTGTATTTGTTCACAACATTTCACCAGAGTTCAGATCTTTGGAAGCTGGAATCTGTTGCCATGCATTAAAATATAATTTAGGCTCATATGGTAGTCAACATGTACTATAACTGTGGAACCCTACATCATGGCTTTTTCTTTATATGTCTTTAGAATGAATTACAGTGGATTCAATTCTATTCTTTTCTATTATCACTTTTTAGATTTTTTTTTCAGCGATATGTGCCTTGATTGACGTGAAAAATATTTTCTGATCATGGCTTACAAAAGCTATTTCAAATTCATCCTTCGTCAGTTATTTGGTAAACTGGGCTGAAGTAAAATGGATTTTACATCTTTAAAAAAAAAGACACCTTCACCCTCCTCCTGAACTAATCAACACTGAATGAGCAGTCGCCTGTGTACACAGGTGTTAAACTTATCATGAGCTGAGTGTTAATGCAAGCAAGAGGAAAATGAACATGGAGAATACACTGAAGGTGCAATTTTTGACACATTGCCATAACATTGCTGACGGTGGTGATCTTGTAGTTCTTGTGTTAACATTTTGTGGGGTAAAAATTGTTGAAAATTAGGAAAGTACACATTTGGAAACCATTAGTAACAATACGTTTTGCTTTTGCGGTCTTTTCCATTCCATCACAGCACCTTTTTGGTCATTTCAGACCACTCTGTACTTTTAGTTTTAGGGTTTGGGTATATGTACAAATATCTTTAAAGTCACATTTTAAAATTGACCCTACTTCAGTTCTACCTTAAATGACGAGTAACGCATGCCAAGTTTATTTGTAGGCAACAATTTGTATACCTTGCAATTCACAGTGCTTTACGTAATAAAGTCACAGACATATAAAATCATTAAAACATATAAAATCATCACTAATGAATTGTGTTAAAAGGCAAGAGTACAAATATAATTGCTGGGGCTTGTCTTGGCACAATCCATGCTCCAAATGATGACAAAAAAGAATCAGAGAAGGAAGGGGTTGATTTAAATCAACTGCCCTGTTAGATGAAGAGATATTGAGCCATTTGTAAAAGACTGTAAAATGTCTTCCCTCTCACTTCTACTTTCCTCATCAGTAATCTTAATCTTCTGCCAACACTCCGAAGTAAATAAGTGAACAATCTAACTGTCAGTACCCAATAGATAATTCTGTTTTATCCCAGCACCCTGTCAATCCCACTCTTTTAATTCAAAATATTATGTGTACCCACAAGAGAGGCTAAACTATACCAACCATATTTATCAAAATGATTTCATGTGAATTATTGGTGTGTGTAGCCGGAGGTTGTATTCTTGAGAAAAACAGAATTTGGGTGAAAACTGTAATTGGACCCCCGTTTTACTGTTTGTGACTAGAACAGTCATGCACTTGGAATTTATAGTTGGTTCAGCCCACTCTGGTGAAGCTCAATTTGTAAAATGTTGTGGGCGACAGAATAATTCAGGGTTATGGGGAGCAACGGAGGCTGAATGTACAGCGAGGGCCAGACATGCGCCAGCCACAACCTGCAGGCCTGCCAGCTGGCCTGCTCCCCCGGGGTTCCCCATGTTCTGCCTCTGCTGATAAGAGAAAAAATGGGATTTCCATTGGCTGCTGCTCAGCTGATGCCTGGGCTTGGATTTTAAACAAATAGAAGGACAGGGAGAGATGGACGTAAAAGGAATAAAATGAGTAAATCCAAGAAAGAGGAGAAAAAGTATCATAACAAATAGAGGTAAATGAAAAAGGAGATTACTAAAATTCTACTAATTTTGAACGTCCTTTCAGTATGCATTGCCAAGGTTTTGGGATAGAGGAACTGGACAAAGAAAGGCCTCTTCTTCAAAGTATTTTCAGCCTTAAAAAACACACACAGTAAAATACTAATAAAAGGTATTGGAAAACTGACTGATTCTTTGTCTTTGATTACATAGTTCCATTACGTTTTCTAACCTTTTCGAAATATGAATTTGTAACCAAGATTTAAAACAAGCTAAGCAAGAATAAATCAGTGAAAAATAATATTAAGAAATAACTAGGTTATAACATATCTGTAAGTCACCAATATATATAAAGTGGGGGGATGAAGATAGAAAGGTTGTAGTATCCTTTTACCGTGCAATAACAATACTGCATTCAACAACTTAGTTACAACTGATCAGTTTGAAATAATAATCCAATTTTGTTTGCCTGTTTTTTTGGTGTAAGTATTTTTTATTTTGTTTTCACCAAACACTTGTTGTCCTGTAAAAAAATAGATCTCTACTTAGAGTTTTGACATTTCTGGACTAGGCAAAAACAAAAAAACAACACAAAAGGGAAACATAAAAAAGATCTCATACTTAGTATGACATTTATATAATATATAAATAGTTATCTATCACTTCACAGTTCCAGTGGGATCTATTGTATATACAAAGTATTTTTTGCTATTTTCTTTTTAGACCTTAACTTTAATGTTATGAAATGTAACTTCTGTTATAGCAAAAGAAAACTGCTTTTGAAGCTCTGCTCCAAACATCCAATGACAGGTTTAAGATGGTGATATAATACATGTTTCCCCATGAGAAATTGCTTGTTGTTATGAAAAACACTGCTCTGCATCCAGGAAATATTTTTGCATCCAGGAAATATTTTTGACATAAGTCTGTTTTTTTTTTTTAGAAAGGCTAATCGGTATTTGTTTTTATTTCCAAACAGAGAAATTGGCAGCCACTGCGCTGTGGATGATATTAATGAGTGTTTGTAATTTCTGGGGGCCATAGGAACCTGTGTTTGCGGGGAGTGTACCTGTTATGATGTAGATCCTTCTGGTGATTGGGGAGACATTCACGGAGACACCTGCGAGTGTGATGAGAGGAACTGTCACGCGACGTACGACCGCTACACAGATGACTTCTGCTCAGGTCAGAAATGCCCGGCATTTGTATGTATAACGGGTGAAAGAAAAGCCAATCTAAACCAAACAAGCTGGGGTCATATCACTGGAAAACCAATCTTTACTCAAAGAATAGTCAACTGTCTGCTTGCTCAGGTTATCCCTTCAAAGCCCGATCCAAGAAAAATTGGAAGAATATTGGATTTTTTTTTAGTGTGAAGTCTTTCTTTGGCCCCTCAACAACATATGAAGAAAATAAAAAGAAATGATTTTGATCAAATTAGCGTGCAATAAGTTAAAAATATATTTTCGTGTGGTCTTTTATTCGCTGTTATCAGGTATATCTGAACGTGTACAACAGGGGTTTGAGCAAAGCTTTTACCATTGAATGATGCAAAAAGTCTCAGATCCAAAAGACTTCAGAAACCGTGTGTATCAAATATGATACATTTGGCATTACAGGGTTATTGTTATTCTCTCCTAACTCTTGAAAAAAAAAAATAATAAAGTGTTAACGATGAGTGTTTTATAATTTGTAGATCCTAACATTTTATGCATGCCCTTCTAATTTTTTCTTTAAAATGTTGATAACATATGAAAGGGACAGCAAGTCCTGGGATCAATACACTTAAACCTGTCGTATAAACAATGTAGCTCTTCAGGTCTGTAATCCCCCCTCACCCACAACGACTGTGAAGACCAATATTTGAACTGTGACTGTGTGAAGTGACCACTTCGTTCAACGCATGCGCCTCTGACCCTTCCTCTGTGCTTTCGGCAGGCCACGGCCAGTGCAACTGTGGCAGGTGTGACTGTAAGGACGGATGGGCCGGGAAGAAGTGTGAGCACCCCCTTTCTTGCTCCCTGTCTTTGGAGAGCAGTCTGAGGAAGTGCAAAGGAACGTCCGGTTTGCCCTGCTTCGGACGAGGTACCCGGCTCAACATCCCTTTTGTTGTAAAAGAAAAATACATTTTCCAGTGTTTCACATCCCTTCATCAACTCTTAAGACACCATTTATTAATAATTAGTTATTAGTGTGGTTAGAAATGGTTAGGATGGCAATATTTGCTATAGGAATGAAAGGATGGAGCTACCTGGTGTGCTATTGCTATTTGGTCTGGTTTATTTTTATTTATTTATTTATTTAATCAGGACAGTGCACATTAATAAACAATCTCATACAGATTGTAAATGAGCCAGATTCTAGCATAGTTTGTGCTCTGTCCACACACATATATATATACATTATGGATGTATATGTTTATATCTATGTGTCAGAATTGACTTAAAACCTTTGACTGTGATGATGTAGACTACTGGATTGACTCTGTCAGTCAAACATTTAATGGATCGGTACATCCAGATTTATTACAGTGTACCACACATTTCTGTTGTTAATAATAAGGTACCCGTTGCATTTTACACTAGCCTCAGACTTAATACATCAACTTTACAGTCCAGCATTGACTGCTCTTCACTGTATTCATTTTTCTCTGAATGTTATTTCAGTTTTCCAGAAAAAAAAAAACTCGCCGTGTGTTCATAATTTAGGAGAAGGAACAGCCAAGCCTGCTGTATTCTGCTGGTCTTATTTAATAATTAAGCCGGAGGTGGGACATGCCACATGTGCTCAACCTGTTCGGTCTGAGGGCTGTCGGATTCAACAGGGGTTAACGTGAAGCATCGATTTTATATTTCGTTTGACTGCGGGGGAGGTCGCTGGGGAGACCGCAGCTCTCCAAACGTGGCGTTGTTCCAAACGAGGAGCGAGGATTTTTTGCGCTGTTGACTATTGTGTGTTGACGGAGATACCCTTTTCGCAGCCATGGCTGCTGATGAAGTCAGGAGTGTGAAGCCACACTGGGCAACTCTCCATGGAGATAAAGGCATTAAAAAATAAACACAGTACCCTGCCGCGACAGCAGAAAGCTCAGAATGAAAAGAAAACGGAACTAACTCCATGTCTTTTGATTATATAAACTCTTCATTACATGTTGTGTCAGGCAGATTTTCATTCTAAAAGCCCGAATCCAATACCACAGAAAGGTTGAGGACACATGGTGTTCCCACTCACATTAGGACATGGAAAAGATTAGCTTGTGCAGGGAGAGTTAATTAACTTTAATTCTTCCAGCAGTACCTTTGAATTATCTCCGAAAGCTGCGACAAAACCGAACACCGAATTAAAATTGGAAATGGAAAATGAAGGGTTTCCATAAATGCTTCATTTTCTTTCGGTGCATGTCAGTGTGCATCTCCATCACCTAAGTTTTTCTGCATGTATCCAATTGAATAATATATGACGAGGGCTGTGACTAAATCTGATCAGCATACTGGGAGAATTGCTATTGTCACGTTTCCTGGAGCCGGCAGTTTTTATCGATTGAATGCTAAAAAAGTGCCAGTCAAAATGTAAACACAGAAATGTTTCTTTTGTCATGCTTCTCCTATGCTATTAGGAATAAATGTCAGAGTGTGGAGAGAAACCGTAACTTAGACTGTAAATGCATGCAAACGTGAGCATTGTGGTGAGTGTGATCATGTATTGTTCATACTCTACACAATTGGTTTAATGTTTGCAAAACCACAACAATTCAAGACAAAATCATTTATTGCACTGCATCAGCTGCAAAATGTGCTGGGAAATAAAAGGGAGATATGGTCTCTGGAAGCAGTTCGGTGGGGTGAGGGGACAGAGAGGGAAAAAGAAGGAAAGTGAAGGAGACAGACGTTGAAAATCACTTAGGCATGGATGAATGCGGCTGGTACAGATGGCAGCTTGAGCGGAAAAGCCTTGAAATTCAAAACAGCAGTTTCAGAGCCTTTCTTCCTGAGAGATGGAGACAAGACGCTTGTGGATAGCACATTCTTTATTCTGTGGAATTTCCTCTAGGAAACACCTGCTTTCAACATCTCTCTTGCTGATTCTCGGGACTCCTCTCTCCCTGATCTCCACAGAATGGCCCGCTTTAGATGTTGACTGCATAACTCCAGCTTTAAACAAAGCGCATTGTTCTATTGCTTTACAAAGAATTTTTCCAAATTATATCTACTTTATCAGCTGTTTTGTGCACAGGAATTTCATTAAAATACATTTGTTTTTGGCGGCCACCAGACTCAATACATCTTGTCGGATAAATGATGCCCTTTACATGCTAATGGGAAGCTTTCATACACACCACAGGATGAGAAGCATGGGCACAGAAGGGGATGTCATTAGAATGAATTTATTATGTTTGGTGTGATGCTGGACCCATCGCAGAGACAGAAAAGGATTTAAAGTAAAATTGAAAGTAAAATCAAGTCAAAGAATTTGAAGGCAAGCATTGGCAAACGGTAAAGCTGTTTGTTTGTGATAATAAGTGATAAGCCTCTCACAATGCCTTGGACAAGCTTTCTAAGATCATAATAATTCTCATACTAAATTGTATGTTTTTTTGTTTTAGTGCAATGACTGCAGACCCTATAGGTGCATCATTGAATATTTGTGCACCTTTGGCTTGTTACTAAAGTTTCACAACTCTGCAGCGAAATACAAAAGTGTTACAGCTGTGGTTGTGTTAATGCTAATCTGGCACAGCAGCCCTTTTTTTTATATTCACCGATGCATTTTTCCATGCCCTTTCACAGGGTCTGACCACACACTGACAATACAGCCCTTTCATTTGGACAGAATTCTGCAGTCTCCCTTTTACATTAACATCCATCGATCCATTTTCTGTACTGCCTCTTTTCAATACAATCACAGGGGGCTGGAGCCTATCCCAGCTGTCATTGGATGGGAGATTTGGTACATCTTGTACAGGCTATATGTCCATATTAACATGTAAAGAAAACCATATTAACATGTAAATAAAATAGACCATTCCATGGCTTTTCTGTGTCAAGCTGTCCTACACAATATATCAAGCTTGAGTTCATGTTACCAAGTAGGTTCGTTATTCTTACTTTGAATTTCAGGGTCAGAAAACATGATCTTCATTCACAAGACAGCATTAAATTTAAAAACGTGTGTTTTAGACACTCAAAACAACTATATAAAGCATAAAAGCAACGTTGCAAACAAAAGCTACAGCAAGAAATACTTTATTGTATCCAAATGAAAATATAATACAACTGGGACTTATTATGACAGCCAAAAACAGCTAAGTTGTTTGTGGAGGTAGACTTGCCAAATTATAGATAATTAAAATGTAATTACATTTATCTTTAATATAGCATGTGTACATTGTAGTGAGTGGGCATTGAAAGGTAATAGTATGACAACTAAAGTAAGAATTTTCATCTTTTATCACACATTGCCACAGTATTCAAATTTAGAAAGGTTGTTTCAGAAGAATTATTCTTCCTTTGTACCAGCTTGGCCAATTTGGATGTTCCCCCAGTCTACTATTTCTTCAACAAAGAGAGGAACTGACATGAATAACTATTATCTTAACCTACCCCAACGTTTCATCAAACAGCCTCTGAATCCATTTAATTTAATTAATCTATAAATCCTACTCTAATCCCTTTACAGCATGAGTAAGCATTCATCTCTGTATAATAAAATGAAGAAACTTAGTTTCCAATTGTGTGATTGTGTTCGGTTTTTTACATATATTTCTATAAACTACTTGTAAAGCTGGTTTCTACTTATGGGGCTTTATGAGGGTCTTTTCAAAGAAGGCATGACAAATTAAACACACAAACACAGATGTGCACACTGATGTGGACAGTCTGACGGCTGCAGAGATAATCGATTAGATAGGGGTGTTATGACATCATCAGTTGCTAGGGTAACTGAATCCTCAGAGCAGATTGCAAAAGCTCTGTGTGAAGCAGGGAGTGATTTCTATATGTCTCTGTTTGTGTTCGAGTGTGTGGCCATAAAACTGATAGCGATATGACACACACAACACGTTTGATGATGGTGTCAGCGGAGTGGCTGTCTTGTAAAATTGCGTTCCGCACTATTTATTGCCACTAAATCCATTCAGTGAGTCATCAGAATATGGACCCAGGCAAATAGACACGGACGTATTTCAGGTGTTACCAAGTCGCTTTAAAAACAAAAAGCAACAGACAGGGAAAATACTTATGAGTAATGAGCGGGGGAAAAAAGGCTTATCATGTTCATTAAAGAGCAATGGAAAGGAGCACAGGTTGGACTCAGCTGACTGGAAAATCCTTTTTGTGTGATTAATTTCCTTGGTGGCCGGCTTACATGAATCACCTCAGAGTGTTTGGAAGGTGATCAGCCGTGGTTATGTCTTTCATTTGAGTTGGTAAAGCATGACGCAGACAAGTATCAGACAAAGCCTGGTGCTTTTTTTCCCCTTCTTTTTATTAACTGAACTGCATCTCTTCACATCACTCTTTGCTATCGTATCGATTCATTTCTACAGTCAATCAAATGATTCAGTCACTGCTGGTAACAATGGTAACATGTGAATCTCTTGAACATTATTCTTTTCATTGCAAATATTCTAGGTTTTGTCTCATAAGAAAGACTTGATTTGTTCACATGCATTATTCAACTTAAACTAGCAACACATTCTTAAAAAACATGGGATGGCACAGATTTAATGAAGGTATATAACGAAGTACATACTGTATACTGTCATTTCCATTATCATCACAATTACAAAAGTGTCACCTGTGAAAGGGAGATTTTATTATTTTATTTAATAAAGCTAATTTTTGGACAAGCCATGTTCATCGTTAACATGGACATCAAGGAGATATCAAGGAGATATTAAAAGGAATTTAAATGAATTTAAATCATCTTCAAATAAAATTCCTCCACTATGGTCCATAAAATCATGGTTAACACAGTTAAAAGAATCAGAAAGAATGTCATTGTGCTGTGGACAAGAATATGCTGTACACCTATGATGTGCATCCAAATCTTTGCTTTCGCTCTTATCATTAATATTTTGACTAATGTCATTTACCAATATCATGTCCAGCATCCTCTCTTACCCTTTCCATATTTACTTTAATTTTGGGAGCACCCCTAAATTGGTGACACAAAGATTAACAAAAAGATATATTTTTGCGAGATAAAATAAATCTTTGTACATCAGCAAAAATCTCCTCCACTTTGGAGTACTAATTAGCTCAGTGAGTCACCGTTAAACACAAATAGTTATTAAAATTCCCTTTTTTTGTGACTTTAAAGACTATCACATCTAATATTTTTAAGTAATCATTAGAGAATTCCTATTCAAAACTAATAAAGTCTTACAAACTTAATTTTGTAATAGTAAACATAATTGGGATGAGTTCACTGAGCTGCACTGTACATGAAATTAATGTGAACATGAGCAGCGTGGTAAAAAAGGTCAATGAGCGGCAATGCTGTAAAACTCTAATGGTTCAGAATAGATTATATTTTTCTAATGAGCTTCAAACCAGCCAGCATGCTCCTTCAGTAACCTCCCCAGTGGCATTCTTCACTGACTGATTGAAGTGGGGTAGCACTATCTTGAGGTGTGTGCATGAGTAGATGTCCTATCTAAGAGTGGGCTTCTTGGAGTGAACCATTTCCATACACAATTTTGCAAATCTTATCAGCCAGAATGAATACGGCTGCAGTTTCTTTCATTTTTAGTTTGAAAACCAGGCCTCTCAATAACAAGAGTAGAACTTTTTTTTTTTTAAATTACAGATGGTTAAACAACTCTGCTCTGAAATAACGCTCAGATGTGAGAAAAACCTCTCTGTTTTTCTAGGTCAGTGCCAGTGCGGACAGTGTACTTGCCACCCACCTGGGGACGGCCGTGTTCATGGCAAAAACTGTGAGTGCGATGACCGCCAATGCGAGGACATTAGTGGGGAGGTCTGTGGAGGTGAGAGCACAAAAACAGACACGCAATCAAACAACAACACAATGTCTCCATTAAGGAACATGCCAGTAGGGCATGCCATCAGCATTGCCATAAGAGAAAGATGGTGGAAGCTGTAAAACATTAAGAACTGTGGCAAAATATAGCTTTTGTGTAGAAATAGTTTTCCACAGACCGCATATTTCTAAAGTCTGCCATGATCACAGTGGAGAAAACATCGTCGATGCCAGAATGTGTTCTCTCCTCACACCAACAAATCTTTTGACTGTGAAATCCACATAAATTTGGTTCTCTAAGGATTGTGCAACCCACAACATGTGCAGCACGCCGCAGTAACCTGGCTTTTTGAGAAGATTACTTTTCTTCTTTTTGTTTTATCATTTGCACAGAAAATAAATAAGCTGACTGAGCTTTTCTATGAATTCAGATATTCAGAGAAAGAAAGGATTGTTCATTTCTTGAATGATTAATTCCTGGATAGCACTTTGTTGTAGAGAAGGTCTTTCTTCCATACGTATGATGTTGTGTTGCTGCCTCAAAGGAATGGTTTTCATTCTTGATTAATATTTTTGATAAGAAGTGTATAGATAATTGCCCTCCTTACTTATTTCTTCTCCTCTTCACAGAGCTGAGCAAACGGCATCTGAAGCACTGACATACTATGCATACCGTTATTTTTTTTTGCCGTGTACCAATTCCAGCCTTCACTGTCCATTCTTAGATGCAGCAGCACGGTGCAAACGGTCAAAGACAGGTGCAGAGTAATTGAATAAGGGCTTGGCCGTCACATCTTCAAAGCAATTAACTGCTGTTGCGAACTGGCTGATTGAGCCAGCCATGCATGGACGACCATGGCTGCCACTCTGTCTAACGCAGAGGCTAGCTGACTTTAATACCTCTGAAAAGCACAAACAGTACATGCCACTCATCTCCGCACCTCTTATTAATTAAGAGCTCCAAGTGAGGTGAGGTTAAGATAGAGAGATGATGAGGAAGTACAGACAATGCCGATATACATTAATCATCCACGATGTCATAACCACTGACTGGTGAAGTGGATAACATGGATCATTCTGTCATGAGAAAATGCTGTGCAGGAAAATGTTGGGCCCTGACATCTGTGTGATTATCCTTGTGACAAGGACCACTTCAGTTGTCATAAAGAAATCCAGCAATTTCTTCTGAGCAAACACTTGGTGACAGTGGGAAGGAAAAGCTCACTTTTAAACAAGTCACCTGCTGCAAAATATCAGTTCCCAACAGTTGATTTTTATAAGAATTTTGGTACGTTCACAAATATTAGTTTAAGAAATTAGAAAGTATTAGTCAAAGTAAGTTTGTCAAAGCAACTGTCGAGCTTGCTCAAAACACCAAAACACTGAGAAGAAGTTCAGAGGAAGCAGTTTCCCTTTGTCATTTTAATAGATTCTAGGATAATAACAAAATAGCAGTTTTAAAAATACAACACGGCAGACTGTTAGAAAATACGTTTAAGGAGAATAACAGAGGTCTCCAAATAAGCTGCTTGAAAGATTTTATGTCAGGCAAAGCAAATAAATGTTTGGATTTCAAAAGGGCTTGTGGAACATTTTGACAAGTGTTAATTAGCAGGAAATGTGAAAAATACTCCATGTGATTGATGCAAACAACACATTGCCTGACAAGTGATAAAAAGTAAAAGAGAAGTGTCTCACAATACCTGATCATGAAATAGATTGAAAGTATGTGGAAATACCTCAAATGAGGAACTTGAAGGACTTCTCCAGAATGTTACAGATACAGAAGAAATCTTGATCAAAATTATTCTCCAAAGAATCAGCTAGACTACTTCACTGCAAAACTGTTTACTTGCTATTATGAGGGACATTAATCTATTTTTTGATGATTTGAAAGAAATGCATCTTTTCCTTTGGGTAATTTGCTAATTGTTTATGCGTCTATATATCTGTGGTAGCATTAGTTTTTGCCAAGGCTCCAAGAAAGAGAAAAAGTGAGTTTGATCAGCAAAAGAGTGTGGTCTTGTGCCACTCTTATTTTAGCAAGAAATCAAGATTAATCCCTAAATACATCGACTCAGTAGCTGGTGACTCCTAATCAAATGAATTATTAGCAATGCAAAGAATAATCTTTTGAGCATCTCTGCTCCTTAGTATATTATTCTGCCTTTGCCTCACTCCATCTCTTCATGCCTTCACACATTGATGAGGCTGATTGTACTTGCATAATAGAATTAATGTATTAGTCTATTTGTCTATTTTGCCAGACGTCGATTCTGAAACATCACACAAGATAACAGCTACAATCATTAATATATCTGCTGTCTTCTTATTCTCCGTCACACTTTTTATCTATGGGCTCACGAACAACGCTCTTTGAGGGTCTCTGTGTTGCCTTTAAGGCATTTTGTTAAATAAATAAGTCATGGGTTAAATAAATAATATTAAAATGTTTACATGCTGCTAAAAGTAATTAGAAGTTGAACGAATGTATAATTCATAGTTTATTTACGTTTTTATTAAAAATTATTATTGGGAAAAACTACTTCCGGTTTGCGGTTACGCACTTCCGGTTCGCGGTTACGCACTTCCGGTTCCGGGTTTTGGTCAGGAAAACAGCGAGGTCCATGCACGGCGAACGGTGTGAAATCTGATGCCATCCACGCCGAATTATCAGGCAGGAATGCCGTAAGTTACATGATATTGTTGATTATGTTGAAATGTCACTTTGTTCAGTTCGATGCACTTTTATTTTGTATGAAACGACTCTATGTACAGAGATTGAGTTTATTTTCTGTTATTACAGTTTTCACCGCATTTCGATGAAGGCAATAAATACGCTTTAATCGCACCTGGGTCTTCATTAGCGGTTTAACTCGGTGTCACCAACATCTACAAGGTTGAAAACACTACAGTCTCAGTCGGCCCGAACTCCGGGTGTGATAGATATTGTCTTATGACCTGGGCCTGCCCCTTCAATGGAGGACTGGACACAACAGAGTGCCATTGGTTAGTTACCTCTGGAAATAAACAGGCCAGGTCCTAATTCACGCAGATGACGTTGGAATGTGGTAACAAAGTGTGTGCGTGTTGACCTAAAGAATGTGTCTGCTGCAACAGAGATAGAAGGAGAAGTTGTGGGCACAGCCAGAAAGTTAACACAAAAGTATTGTTCTAAAAGGAATAAGACAATCAGTACATGGGTTATATTATAGCATACAATGCTAAAGTGAATAACTATAGCCCAATTTGAACATAATATAAGGCGGTACTGTTAAATAGTTATGTTTTTCATAGAGTCATTGAGTACAACCTGAGCCATATAACTAATGATGCTGATCATTCGTTGATTAATTTTATTAATATGAAATTACAATCATTTACACCATATCAAGTCTTCAAGATGGTTAACCTGTTGCTAAATTAAACAGTTTAGAAAAAGTACATTTGTGTTATATTTACATTTCAATTTCTGTAAATAAGTATCAACCCCTGAGCCAAGAATTTATGGACTGATTTTCTTTTTTAAATCAAAAGTATTTGATGGACTCTGACAAAATATAAAAAAAGGAAAGAAAAAATATTTATTTAAAGCATCAGATCGATTTTGCTGAATATTTTCTTCACGTTTGCAGCATATTTTGGGGCTTTTATAACAGAAGTTTTCACCACAAGGTGATGAAGAAGGTCCCAACATCTATGTATCAAAGATGATACATATGATATTCAAGTGTTTGAGACTGCAGAAAATATTGACCATCGAGCACATCGATCATTTTTTGACTGCATAAATAGACCTTTGTAAGCAAATTTCACTTCCTTTTCTTTTTTTCCTCCTTTTTTTCTTTTTATTCTGTCCTGTTTAGCATTATAGTAGCAGAACTGAAATCTGAGTACCATGCTATGTTGAACACATTTGCTTTGCCAACGGAAGCCTTTTTTGTTGAGAAGCCCCCTTTGATTACCCACAACTGCTTTATTTATTTATTCATTTTTGTCACCAAAATTTACATGTGTCCAGTAATGCCGAGCCTGACTGTGGGACATGGATGAAAGAAGAGCAATGGAAAGGAGAAAGATCCTTTTGACAGAAAGAGAAAGAGAAAAATAAAGACAACAAAACCATACAACCAGCTGCTGTGACTGTACAAAAGGAACAGTTTCTTCTGGGTAATCCGGGTGGAGAACCTATAGGAGCTCCCGCAAATGGACACAGGGAAGACAAAACAACAAGGGACAAACGCAACAACACTGGTAGCAGGGACATTAGTGAGCTTCCCATAACTTACAAATCCCAGTGTCATGCGGTGGTGTCCTTAGGGAGGACTCAGTCGCGGAGATTGGTGAAAAAGGGTTTATTTTAACAAAACACACACTTTAAAGGAGTGGATGGCAGACAAGGTTAAAAAACAAGGCTGTGAAAAAACTATGGACAAAGTAGCAAAGAAAGATTAACAAAACTGTTGCAAAGTATCAAAGTAAGAGTAAACAAGGCTATGGCAAAAGCAATAAAGTTAACAAGACTGTGGGCAAAGTATCAAAGCAAGACTATGGCAAAATATCAAAGCAAGATTAACAAAACTGTGACAAAACATGGCTATGACAAAAAACGTGGCTATGGCACGAAAGTAAACAAGACTGTGGCATGGCTGTGACAAAACTCAAAGCGGCTGTTTTGGGTGCCGGTTGTCTCTGTGGTCGTCCCTCTGGGTGAATGTCTGGTGTCTTGTCATGTCTTGATTACCTATTGTGTACACCTGGGGTTCCCCTCCCTCATGTGTTTAAATAGTCCTCGTTTCCCATGTCCTGTGCCAGTGCGTTTTCGTCATTTTCGTCATTTCGTCTTTCTGTTTTCGTCACCCCTCGCCACCTAAGGTTTGAGTAATCAAAGGGGGCTTCTCAACAAAAAAGGCTTCCGTTGGCAAAGCAAATGTGTTCAACATAGCATGGTACTCAGATTTCAGTTCTGCTACTATAATGCTAAACAGGACAGAATAAAAAGAAAAAAAGGAGGAAAAAAAGAAAAGGAAGTGAAATTTGCTTACAAAGGTCTATTTATGCAGTCAAAAAATGATCGATGTGCTCGATGGTCAATATTTTCTGCAGTCTCAAACACTTGAATATCATATGTATCATCTTTGATACATAGATGTTGGGACCTTCTTCATCACCTTGTGGTGAAAACTTCTGTTATAAAAGCCCCAAAATATGCTGCAAACGTGAAGAAAATATTCAGCAAAATCGATCTGATGCTTTAAATAAATATTTTTTCTTTCCTTTTTTTATATTTTGTCAGAGTCCATCAAATACTTTTGATTTAAAAAAGAAAATCAGTCCATAAATTCTTGGCTCAGAGGTTGATACTTATTTACAGAAATTAAAATGTAAATATAACACAAATGTACTTTTTCTAAACTGTTTAATTTAGCAACAGGTTAACCATCTTGAAGACTTGATATGGTGCTGGCACCCAAAACAGCACCACCTTTTCAAACTCTCTGATCAGTTGGTAGACACTTGTGTGTATCTGCTTCTTCATGTGGGAGTTCGTAGCGACTGATCCATAGGGTCCTATAGGGCACGAAGGGGGAGTAGAAGTTATTATGCTTCTCAAAACCTCTGACAAACTACAATGTCTTAAAAGCGATGGCTATCAGGGCATTGCAGCAACCCACTGCTTTTTCAACCAATTAGACCTCCCCGTGTGTTTTTTGCCTGCCATTTCTAGTCTTCGTTTTCATCTCGCTATCGAGCACTAGATATTTATCAAGGGCACAACGAGACGGGTGATGACAGCTTCTTTAATGTCCCCAGGGGAAACACAATAAGCTTGCTGCATCTCTTTCATCTCCCTCCAGCTCCGCTACCATGTAGCGCCTATTAGTGTCAAGGTTTGACGTCTGCACTGTCAACTCTTTGTATTTATGGGCTTTAAATCAATGCTTTTTTTTCTCCCCAGCGACCTGGCCATTTGTAATTGGTTTACTTTTTGTTTTTTTTGTATTAATTTCTTAATTTCCTTCTGTCCCCGGTGTTTTCTCATGGTCTTGCACCATATTGTCTTTAAATAAAGGCCCTTCTGCCCTCCACCGCCAGGTCACGGTTACTGTTCGTGTGGACGGTGCATCTGTGAGGAGGGCTGGTTTGGGAAGCTGTGCCAGTTCCCCAGGTCCTGCGACATGAGTGACGCCCAAAGCAAGGAGATGTGCGAGACCGCCGATGGAGTCATGTGCAGCGGAAAAGGTAAGGAAGACACCGTACAGCCAAAGGTTTGAAAAGGTGGAATATATGTAATGTGCCATTTATTTATTTCATCTTTGTTTTTAATAAACTCTGTTATCTTAACTATTTTCCACATCTCCGGCCATCGAAAGGTATTTGTCAAACACGTGTTCAGAGTCGCAATGTTGCTGCGGGTCAATACATTGATTTTTTCTTCATGGTGTCCTTTTTTGTGCGTCGATGCTTTCCAATTCAGTTCACAAACACCTTATTTGTCCCAGTGGGATCATTTGCAGGGTCAGATAGGGTAGCACAGCTTCAGCGAAAAACGAAACTGGCTGTTGTCCTCTATTTGCTTGTGTCAGAGCAGAGTTTCACCCTGGATAGCATGATTTTTAAAAAAGTAAATCATTTAGTGTTTTTTCTTTATATTAAAGTTATGATGTTACCGTGCACTGTAGAGTTACCATATGGTCATGACATGGTCATTTTAATATGAACATGATATTCATGTGAGTATGAGTCAAACTGTCTCCATCTTCAATGAGGCTAAACTTTGTATCTGTCATTAGCTGTCTGCTGCATTCAGGCAATGCACTACAGTTGTAAATAAAAGTAATTACACTGAGATGTCAAACATTGGTGGTTTGTTTCCTGTCAATAAGTCCTTGAGCGCTGGACATTGAACCACATATATATCGATAGGTATGTGAGTGAATAGGCTCATGTAGTGAAAAAAATGTTTAAGACTTCACTTACTCTAGAAAAGCATAACATTTCTGAACTATGGGAGCGGTCAAAAGATTAATGAACGATTAGTATTCTGAATCCACGTTTATTTCTCTCTCATAGAGAGACTGTATATTTAAGGAACAAATTGAAGGACATTTTCTTTCAGAGAGGTTAGATGTTGCTCTTTTAGTCTTGATACACCTGGGCTGTTGCTCTCACACACACATTCTCACACACACACAGAAAAATGACTGTGTACAAGCAACCTGAACTATGATACATTCACACATAATAATCAACAACTGAAGCCAGTTTTGGCAACATATTTCTGTGAAATAATCAATAAGTCTGGGGTATTAAAGACAACCCTAAACGTTGATCATGGCTTTCTGAATACGTTAGAATTTCTACAAATGGCAGTTTGCAGCATTGTCCAGTTTTCCAAACATAATAAGCGCAAATGTATGTAGCAACATGTTGCCACTCACTTCTTTTTATTTGTGACAGCACAACTGTGGCCACCATACCAGATATTTTTTTTCACTCTCCACCTCAATTGCCAACCCATTGGTCTCTGCCTTGGTGAAACTGCGTTTCTTTGCTCTTTCTCCCTTTATTAACCATCAAATAACCCTAATAATCTGGCTCATTTACATACACATTGACATTGATTTGCATTGACTGTTTATGTTTGAATGTGGGCGTTTAGGGGAAGGAACATGAGGTGGAACCTTTAATGCAATTGCTGAGGTGCACATGATTAAAAAAGGGGATATTGCAATGTCATGTGCGTACCCATAGTTTTAAAAATCTGGATTTCTTTGGACGTACACCATTTTTGGCTTTGGGGAGCATGTACACTTTCTGTATTGATGCTACACAATCTTTTACAGCTGAGACCCCTGGAGATTTTACAAGGGAGCTGGGTGAACAATCCATAAAAGATGTTCAAAGGAAATGTTGTGGACACAGCACTTTTGTCCTTGAAGTGATGTAAAGCGCTTTATAAAGTTGCAATGGATTGGACACCAGGGCTCTCAAAAGCCAGCCACACAAGAATGTTAGAACAATCTCAATAGTCCAGTGCATGCGGGAAAACAACTATGCTCAGTGACAATGCATGACTCAGGTGACCACAGTGACCAGATTGTGTAGATTGTCTGATGACCCGTGACCAGGAGAAAACCCGCTCATGCACAGGAAAAACACATGTGCTCCAGACCGAGAGGACCTGTCTGAGATCCCTATCAGGACATCACTCGTGCTTTGGACAATGATACTGAAGTTGAGCTCAAACCACAGGACAGCTGTGCATGTAATTATACTCAGTGTAGACTGACGGATGCAAGGACGTTGAAGGCCATGATCAAGAAATGGCCGTAAGGGAGGGCCAGCACGGTCAAAAACAGTCAGAAGTCAAACTGTGCTTGAGTCATCAGTGTGTGTATTATTTCATTCAGTGTCTGACTATCTAGGAAAAGGTTGGGGAAGTTTTACTTCCTCATCATTTCATGTCTGAGTAAGTATGGACAAAGAACCAGACTGACTGGCCAATATTTTACGTCACAATTCATAAACATAATACATGTATTTTTTTTAGATCAGGTTTTACTCTAACCACCTTACAAACTGAAACTGGATTGATCACAACAATCTACCCCAAATTAATGTTTATTTTTATTAACTCTATGACATTCTGTTAAAAAACTACAAAACATTAATATATTTTACGAAGCTTTTTTTTTTCTTTTTTTTTTCTCCAAGAGATGGACGCAGTGGTTTACCTTTTATGGTGTGCATAGGCAAATCCACAGAAAAAGGTTCAAATTGAGCACTGCTGAAAATGAAGACGAACATTCTCATCCTCCAGGCTTCACTAATTCAGATATCAGATATTGTTCTCATCATTGCCCCCTTACCCGTTTCGCTTTTTCTCTCTCCATCTGCCTAACGTTCTCCTCATGGCTTCCTGTTACCTGGTTTATGTAGGTAGAAATGAAAGAGATTTAAAACATAGCTGCTGAACATCTGGTTGGGACCATTTGAAAAATGAAGCGGACAAGAGGATTTTTTTTTATCTCTGCCAGTTCATAAAATCTTGCTATCTTGTTGCTACCCTTAAGAGAGAAAGGCATACTGTAGACCCATGGGAAAGAGAGGGGGTTTAAAGTGTGGGTGGATTGGCACCCTGGTGGTAAAAGTGTATTAGTAGCTGTATCCCCGGGGTAAACACTCTGTCCACTTTAACCAACAGCATTCATCTTCTGTGTAAGAAGATAAAAAAAAGCAAAGAAAGACAGAAGATAATACAAAAAGTCCTGAAAAAAGTAGTAAACCTCAGCTTAAATGACCAAATGTGATACTCATCGACATTTTTGCGTGTGCCTATCATTCTCTGTATTACAGGTTCCTGCCACTGTGGCCAATGCATTTGCTCTCCCCAAGAATGGTGGGTGTCTGGAGAGCACTGCGAGTGTGACGACAGAGAGTGCGATAAACACGACGGCCTCATCTGCACAGGTAATGAAACACGCTCACCAGATGTCAGAAATGAGGGAGCCGATCCATAAAGGTAGCATGGTAGAAGGTCCCAATCAGAAATGTAGTTAACCTGTGACGGACCACATTAAAGCGAGAACATCAACAAACAACTCATCAGCAGGACGCTCTATGTTGAAATGGCACCTACGTAGCAACATAATGATACATTTGTCAGGACAAATATGGTCGTAATGACTTTACATAAAGACCATTCTGAGTTTTGAAAGTATGACTGAATATTTGCTTTCAGAAAGAAAGGAAGCGGTTCAGTGTTGAAGGCAGATAGACTGTATTGTTCTCACCAGTTTAAGACATATATAAATGAGGTGTCTCAAATCATACCATGTTCAAATTTACATTTTTGCTGCAGAAATAAGCAACCATTTTTAAGGCTTAGGCTCACTGACTAATATATTTGCTGAAGTATCATCAGGCTCTTGGTCTGACCAAATCTAAGTTCATCTTTAATGCGTTCATAAATCCAAGATGGTAATGAAGAGCAACAGCAATGGGCACTTGCTTGAAAGGTCAGCGGTGAAATAGATCACAGTGGCTACTTCCATGTTATATTTACTATATACTGTAACATCTATCTTTGATAATCATACAAAACAACAAATCTCAATCGGTAAGCATTCTACATTCATTTTATCTAGCTTGTTTTAACTTAACATGTAAGTCTTTGTAATATTAATTCTTATCTTCATTTGTCTGCAGTTGTGACATGCTTAATGTCATCTATCTATCTATCTATCTATCTATCTATCTATCTATCTATCTATC